CGACACTCAACGGTCGTTACGTAACATTCTTGACTTCCTTTCGACCAAAGGGAGATAATAACCATTTGCATCCCTACTATAATATATTACAATCATTTAACTGTACTGCATTATAAAAAGAGAATGTTAATTTTATCAACTACGTCTTTGTGCCCGGGTAAATGAATTATCTTTGGAGAAGGCACAATTTAACTGAATTAAAGCATAGATTTTGTTTTTCCTTCCAGCGAATTTTATGTGTGTTATGGTCCAGGTTAGGACCAAGGAAGAACAACAAGAACAAAATAGTAAAAATACTGAAGGTATATTAAATGAAATAATAATACAAGATGTGGGAGGTGTTAGTATGACTGTCAGTCTGGTTTGGAGTGAACTACTATCGGTTCGACTCGATTCGATATTTACTTGCACCCCCCTACGAGGGAAATATGTGGCACAAGGCCGAGTTTAACGTGGGTTTCCCGAGCCCATAGGCTCGACCAAAAAATACCCATAGAACCCGTATAAACGGGATCGGTTTAGTCAACCTCCCCGAACCTCGTTCGGCGGAGCATCGTCCGCTTTCCTCTCTGCTCAGAGGCAGAGAGTTCGACCGTCCAGCCGAGAAGCTCGGCTCCATTCGGTATCTAACCACCCTCCCACGAGGGTTGCATGTGGCACAAGGCCTAGTTTAACGTGGGTTTCCCGAGCCCGTAGGCTCGGCCAAAAAATGCCCGTAGAACCAGTATAAACGGGATCGGGTTGGTGAACCTCCCCGAACGAGACTCTGCCCTTTGGCGGAGCCTCATCTGGGTTCCTCTGCTCAGAGGCAGAGAGTTCGACCGTCAATCCGAGAAGCTCAGCTCGATTCGGTATCTAGCACCCCCACGAGGGTTGCATGGGCACAAGGCCGAGTTTATCGGGGTTTCCCGAGCCCGTAGGCTCAGCCAAAAAATGCCCATATAACCCGTATAAACGAGATCGGGTTGGTCATTTCTCCCCGAACGAGATTCTGCCCTTCGGCGGAGCCTCGTCCGGGTTCCTTTCTGCTCAGAGGCAGAGAGTTCGACCGTCAATCCGAGAAGCTCAGCTCGATTCAGTATCTAGCCACCCCCAACGAGGATTGCATGCGACACAAGGTCATTTTTATCGTGGGTTTCCTGAGCCCGTAGGCTCAGCCAAAAATATGCCCGTATAACTCGTAAAAACGAGATCAGGGTAGGTCATTCACCCCGAACGAGATTCTGCCCTTCGGCGGAACCTCGTCCGGGTTCCTTTCTGCTCAAAAGCAGAGAGTAAGACCGTCAAGTCGAGAAGCTCGGCTTGATTCGACCCTCTCTCTTGAGAGGCGTAGTATACATAGTGTTAGGAAGAGTTCATTATGTAAGTACAGGTAAGGACCCATGACAATGTGTGATCCATAACTTGCAGAAATCTACAGTTGAATGAGTTTCGACCATAGATGCTAGACAATTTGTGTGTGATAATATATGGAAATAATCAGGAGTCAAGCAGAAAAATGTAGGAAATATTTTGTTTCTCAGCTATGAATAATTAATGATGAATAAGTTATTTTCGTTTATGATCAATTTCCTTAAGATTCTTCTGATAAGCTTTGAGGGCAATAATACATTGTTATTGCTCAAAGTAGTGTCCAGTAGTCTTATAAAAAACCTCGGAAAATTCCAGTAAGATATCTTTAATGATTTCTAAGATACACCGTTTCAAACTTACACGTTTTAGACAAATTTTTCTGTTCCATTTTTATATATATATATATATATATATATATATATATATATATATATATATATATATATATATATATATATATATATATATATATATATATATATATATATATATATATATATATGTGTGTGTGTGTGTGTGTGTGTGTGTGTGTGTGTGTGTGTGAAAATATATAGAAAATAGGAAGGAACTTGTTAGGTAAATAATCCAAAGTTCCTTATTATTTTAGTTATTATTTTTAAAAATAGTGCTCGATACAAAAGTAGAGCATAAATATAATTATTTATTTAAAAATATGATTCCAACTCGCGACATAAGAAGTATCATGTTTCAAAACAAGAGCCGAAAACTTCAATATAATTATTTGAATTAAATTGAGTTAAATTAAGCTCTGTTCCATCTTCAAGCGAAATTTTTTTGGGAATAACGTATTTCTGAAATTTACGTGTTTTAATAATTGAAATCAAAAATCAAAATTCCCATGGCAACACCTACGGCGAATTGTTTAAGTTAGGTTTGGGTAGGCGTGTGTTGGGTGTTAATAATAAGTATCAATATAGAGTTACTTTCATAGTTGTCAAGTCAGGGAAAGGTGGGCGTGTCTAAATTTGAAACGGAGGATGTATTTACTCTAGTCTGGTATGCGTGTCTATGGAGATTTATTTATTTTTTATTTTATTTTTTTATGAAAGGGATTATATATATATATATATATATATATATAACCAAACTAGACGATGTCATCTTCCGCTTTAAATTTAGACACCCCCAACCTTACCCTAACTGGACGTCTGTGAATGTAACTGGGGTGTTGATGCAGGTTGTTGGCCCTTACTCCCCTTTTCTTTAAACAATTGCTCTAGACGTTACTATGGTAGTCTTGGTTTCAGTGGTGAATATGCTTGTGGGGCTCGTGATTTTCAGTTTCAGTGGGGATTATTTTTTTTTCCATGTCGACAATATAGTTAAATTCCCTTGTCATTTGACAACACTTGTCCACAGACTTCTGGGAATTTAACTATATTTATTTATATATATATATATATATTTATTGCCTGCGAATACATATCGTCTGTTTTTGCCTCGTACATATCGTTCGTTTTCATCCACTCTGCGCGTAACGGAAGAGCCGATTGCGCAATTAGTATGCGTAGAGATAATTAATAATATTTAATTGTCTTTTGATATTAACAGAAATTAGATATTTCAAATATGTCTCAGAAAAAATTCAGTAAAAGATCGAGCAAAATTATTCAACTGAAATTTGGAACAAAGAAATATATTTCATTGACATTTTTATAGGTTTTATATCGCTTATTTTATTTCCCCGTAATTTTTACAAAAAAAAAAAACAAGTACATGATATATTTAAGAAATATAAAACGAATTTTAGAATTAAACTAATAGAGCGTAATTAGAAAACATGTCTAAATTTGATATTATTTTGCTTTATGACTCAATATATATATATATATATATATATATATATATATATATATATTATAATTTTAATTTTACATACAGAAAAAACAGTTAACTCACAACAAAGATGCAACTTCGTTTCGGTGTATTTCAATTGCACCTCGACTGGTGTGACCCAAAAATGGTTATGAAAATGTTGGTTAGCCGTATGTGAAAGGTCACTTCCTTTTTTTTCCATTTGTTTGAGAAAAAATATACATAAAGCAAAAAGGTGACGAAGTGAAACAATGGTGCTTGTTGATAGCAGTTTGAGGAATTATGGGTGGGATGTTGAATTCTGGTTAGTCTGGGAAGATTTCTTGCCGATAACAACGAACAAATGTTTATGATAAAATTATATAAAATAATTATCGCTCTACTATCGGTATCGAGTCCTCTTTTGGATTAATGCTCTGAACGTTAGTATTTTATATTATTTTCGCTCTCATTGCATCGGATATATATATATGTCACGAACCTCGTAAGTCAGTAGAATCGTAGAACAATATGTACTGTCGCGTGAACTGAAAACTCACGATAATCTGATGAAGCACCAAAAAACAAAACACATAAACCAAAACAAATTTTTACTTTTTATACTATATATATATATATATATATATATATATATATATATATATATATATATATATATATATATATATATATATATATATATATATATATATATATATGTGAAATAATATTTAAAATAATAACAAAAATACTAAAGAACTTTTGGATTATTTAGCTAAAGAGTTCTTTCCTATTTTCTATATATTTTAGATACACACATAAACCCACCCAAAACCTACACACACACACACACATATATATATATATATATATATATATATATATATATATATATATATATATATATATATATGAACGACAACAGTTTGTTTCATGTTTTAACGCAGACCTTCTTTACCAATGTTCCTTGAGGACACATGGCACAGTGGATAAAGGCGCTATTTCTAGTGACATGATCCAAACAGTGTGAGTTCAATACCAGTTTAAGTCGGTGGAGAGCTTGGAGAGGGAAATTAACTGGAGATAATTGACAACTGACATCCATTAGACATGGCACGTGGAACTAGAACAGTCTGCCTCAGTGTGCGAAATAAAGGCTTCAGTTCTTCATTACAACCACCTGAAGAAGGTCGGAGCGTACAACGGCATTAACGTTGTAATAAATATAAATATGGTGACAAAGATGAGGACAATAATATATATATATATATATATATATATATATATATATATATATATATATATATATATATATATATATATATATAACACACACACACACACACATATATATATATATATATATATATATATATATATATATATATATATTTTTACATAGAACGTAAAAAACACGCGATAGACTGTTCTCATCAGCTGCCCGTGGGTAATACGGTACTGCCAGCCCCGACTCCTCCCACAGTTTTTGCCTCCGGGCAAGCTTTTATTTTTCGTTGTAACCTTGTCTGTCTCTGCTATCTGTATGCATCTTCACGTCAGATTTTCCAACGTTGTGTTCAATGAAAGCGTTTGCTTTTGATCGTTAAACAAAGCAACATATCTACTGATAGATAGATAGATAGATAGATAGATAGATAGATAGATAGATAGATAGATAGATAGATATGTGTGTGTCCTTGTATGTATACATGCTTGTGTGTGAATGTAACAAATAAAATTGAAGATAATCCTCCATTTGCACCTGCTTTCTTTGACAGGGCTATAAATATAAATCTACTGATACCTTCCGGTATTCCTTTAACATTTCGTCAATGTTGTCCACCCCGATACCCTCCTATGCCGTTTCTTTGACGTATGTATGCATATGTGCCCTCGAGTAGATGTATATGTATAAGGCACACAGACGTGTCCAAAAATAGAGGCACCAACAAATATATCTTGGTGAAGAGCCATATTCTTTGCAAAACAAGAATCCAGTGAAATGCAAATGGATACTTTGAATAAAAATTAACTTCCGCAGTGTCTTCTAATATTAAAACAGAAGACATCTCAAGAATTGTATTAAGAGACGCAAAAGAAACAGCAAGCGTAAGTTCACAGTAAGAAGGGGAGGAAGATGTTGAGGAATAGACAGAAGAAAGAGGTTAACTCAAGGGAAAAAAATTAAATTCTTAATTTCAAATTCTGAAAATTGGTAAATTAGAGTTATCGAATCTCAAAAATTATCAAAGGAAGATCTTATGAATATTGCAAATGTCAAGGCGTTTTTTTTTTAATAGGAATAAAGACTTTGATAGGAATTAGGAAAATGTTTTCTTTCTTCCCTCTTTTTATTTTATTTTCCGTCTTTGTTTTCGTTTTCGTTTCTTTTATTTTTCATTAATTCTTTTTTTTTATCTTTATCTCATTTACCTTTCATTCATTTCTCTTCCATTTTTCTTGGTTTCTTTGCTAGTTTTTTCAGTTGTATTTACTTCATTTTTTCATATTTTTCTTACGTTCTTTCTTCTTTTCTTCCTTTCAATCGTTCTTTCTTTCATTTCTCTTTCTTTTATTTTCTTTTCTTTTCTCTTTCTTTTCATTTCTCTTTCTTTTCATTTCTTTTCATTTCTTTTTCTTTTTATTTTCTTTTCATTTCTCTTTCTTTTATTTTACTTCATTTGAATTTATTACGTTTATTCCTGTATTTCTTTTTTCCTTCGTTTTCCGATTTTTCTTTCTTTCTCTCATGTGTCTCCTTTTCATTTTCTTTTTCTCTTTCTTTCATATTCTTTATTTTATTTTTATTTATTTCCATCGATTTTCTTTCTTTTTTCTTTTATTTTAAAATTTGTTCTCATTCTATTTTTTTCCCTATTATTTCTTTCTCCTAATCGGATTTGTAAAATTCTCCATTGAGCTTTATTTTAAGAAGTGTGGTAAAGGATGGTGATTTGCTGTAGAAAATGCACAGATTAGCAAGTCAGCCTAGCGTAAATAATGAAATTATAGAATTATCTCCCTTTTTATTGCCGTGGTTCAGTGAATGCTTTCCAAATGTTATTCTAGTCATATAGACGTATTAGAATCTAGGGAAGAATTTGCTTTGTTAAACGATGCAGATATGTATGCGAATTGTCAAATAATATTTTCTATTTCTTAAATATGAGTGCATCTGTTTATTAGCTGATTTTAATTCAATATTATCAATGGATAATATTCGATATACCGGATGTAACTGCAAAATTATCCACCGCACAAAATGTTTAATATAAAAAAAAAACAAAAAACAAAAAAACACTAAAGTAACTGATTTTTTTCTTTTCAAGATTTGCAGCTAAGACGTTTAGCCATATTCATACTATTTGTCGTAACAAACACCGAAAATGTTTTTGAGTTTTTCAGCTAGAAAGAGAACAAAAAATTATTTTGTGTCAGCCCCTCTGCCTTCCAAAATGAACTATGGTGAGAGGAAAATGATCATTCAGTCCTTCAGTTATGCTACCAAGATTCATACTCTGACTTCCATCTTCAAAGTCCTTTCAAGAACCATCAAGAGAACGGTGAATAAGTTTTAAAAAGTGGGAAGAGTAGAGAGGAAAACTGGATCAGGAGGTCACAACAGAAAGAGGGATCATCATAAGATGTTTGGCACGTGATAGTGAAGTTTCACCTATGACAGTCCAAACAGCAGTAAAATAATACTTAAAAATTAAATCGTACATGAAAGCTATGAGGCACGTAATTACTCCTGTATAGAAATTTAGAAGGGTAGGGTGGGCGATGATGGAAATTACACAAACACACACACACACACACACACATATATATATATATATATATATAAGTGAACATAGAAGTCAACACTTAGAGGCGACAGTCTGTTTCATTTCATGCATCTAGCATGGAACAGACTACCACCTCTAAGTGTTGACTTCTATGTTCACTTTTATATTTACATACACTATCTCTGATATTGAGCACTTTATCCCATAAATATAGCACGCCTTAAGTCTATATTTCTTCATATATATATATATATATATATATATATTTATATATTTTTTGATGGACAAAATCCGACAATTATTTTAAGACATTTAGATACAAATATTTGAGTAAATGTTCTGTTTTATAATAAACAGTATTAAACAAGATTTACTGGCCTATAAAAACAATGTATAAACATAAAATGTCTTAATATATATATATATATATATATATATATATATATATATATATATATATACGTACATATATATATATAGATAGATAGATAGATAGATAGATAGATAAACCTAGTGAACCAAACAAAGCTACCCAGGTTTCACCTGAACGGATCGTCAGGGAAATTTTGCTTTATTTTATATATATATATATATATATATATATATATATATATATATATATATATATATATATATATATATATATTGGAACTTTATTTGAATGTTTCATGAGCTTCGAATTAACTAATGACGAACATGTCATTTTCGTTTATGATCGATTTCATCACGATTCTTCTGTTAAGCTTAAAGAGTAATTATGCATTATACATGCTCAAAGTAAAATCCAATAGTGTTATAAAAACTTCGAAGAATTCCAGTAAGATATCTTTAATCATTTCTAAGATACAACGGTTCAAATCTTAATCTAACAATTGGACAATTTTACTGTTACAGGATTTGGAAAATTTTGCTGTTACACTATTTGGACATTTTTGCTGTTACACGTGGTATAATCGAAGAATGGAACCTTCCGCTGATTTCAAGTGATATAGATGCACAGATCACTTAAGAATTGAACCTTCATCCTGCGCACTGATAGGATTTTTCGTATTCAAGTCAAGGCTTGAATATAACCAGCTTCAGAGAAATTGTGCACAGTGAATAGTGAAGCCCGGTCTCTAGCTTTGGACGTCTCGAAAGCCATCGACAGTGTTTGGCATACAGGTATTTTCCACAAACTGAAAAGTTATGGTATCGCCGGACTAAATTATGAACTGATCTAGTCTTTCCTATCAAATCGTGAAATGAAAGTTATCTTCAACGGCCACTCCTCTAGATCCTTTTGTACTAATACATATGTCCACACCCCCCATCCAACCACTCCATCCTTGGTCTTACTTTGGTTTTGAGTTTTCATTAATTACTTTCCAGATGGTATCAGCTCTCAACTTTGTATTTATCCTAATGACACAACCATATGCTCCTGTTTCGATAGTAATTCTAATCAGTTCGATATTGACAAATTGGTAGCTGATATCCAAAAGGAACTAAAGTCTGTTGTTAACTTGGCTAATCTGTGGTTACTTAATTTTGAATTCTTTCTCCTTTTCTTCAGGATGGTTGATGCTAACCTTCAGTGATTCTTTGCGCCTTTTTGGGCTAACGTACTCAGCTAAAATGAGGTGGAATAACCATAATGGATCCATTGCTAGAAAGCTGCAAATAAAATTGGTTGACTCTTGAGAATCTATCTATATATATATATATATATATATATATATATATATATATATATATATATATATATATGTAATAAGTATACAATTGGTCTAGGCTTAGAATGTTACTGCCACATATAGTACGGTGTTTCTGCTATTTATCTAGAGCTCCTTGATAAAATCTAAAGAAGAATCAGCAATATTATTCATCATGACCTGGCATTTCATCTTCACTTTCCCACAATATAACATATCGTATAAAATACATAACTTCTGTATCGCTCTCTCTCACAGTGTATAATATATATATATATATATATATATATATATATATATATATATATATATATAGAGAGAGAGAGAGAGAGAGAGAGAGAGAGAGTCAATGTATTTGTTTTATTGTTTAACGCGTGTATACAGGCAAGTAAACGACATACGGATCTTCTACTCAAATGAGTATATCCACTAAGGATAAATATTGAATCAATAACTTATTTGTTGATATAGTCCAGGCGAGCCCTATTCACACAACATAGAATATGAAATTCTCCCCATGCCTCCCATTATCCAGGCTTTCCTACCTCCATAATATAATTCCAGTAACGGTACATTCTTCCCTACACACCTCCCAATAATTCCCCTATAACATACTGTCTCTTTCTTTCTCGAAATAAACACTACACTGCAAAATGATACAATAAACAGTTTGAACAATACTGCGAATTTTAAAATTCAAATTCGTAGGGGAAAATGGTGATTTACCAAAGGTATCTTAATTCCAATTTTAATAAACACAACACACACACACACACACAGATATATATATATATATATATATATATATATATATATATATATATATATATATATATATATATATATTACCTGGCACAGAACTCCGCCCTGTGCTGGTGGTGTGGCGGGTACGACTGGCTTGGACTGGGTCTGACCAGTTTGGACCAGCTATAACAATCCAAGACCAGCTATGACAAGCCAAGATCAGCTATGACTAGCTTAGACCAGCTTGGACAAGCTCTGACCAGCTAAGACCAGTTTAGATCAGCGGCCCTAGTGAAACTACTCGAATCCCCACGTTAAAAACTGACCTTGTGTCACAACCTAACTCAATGTGTGTGTGTGGGGGGGGTGTCAAGTAAATTGTTTAAGGGCATCTGCATATTTCTGTTATTTTTTTTTTGTCTGTTTTTATATATTTTTTTTTTTTAAATATGCGCTTATTTATTGGTGTTAGTTTGATTTTTCTTCTTGGTGTTTTTGTGCACATATGCGCGTGCACATTTGTCTATGTGTGTGTGTGTGTGCGTGCGTGCGTTCGTGTACGCATCTGCCTATGTGCATATGTGTAAATTCTCGTGGTTATTTTTTTTCTTTTCAGCATTTCCTTCTCTCCTCATACTCTCTCCTAATTCTTTTTTCTTTCTTTTTATTACCTTTCTGCTCTGAGTGTCAAAAGATGATGTCAGAGACGATTTATAATTACTCTAGATCCCCAATAACGTGCGATTCTCTAAAGATTTTGCTATTTTCAATTTAAACATTTAATTTATTTATATATATATATATATATGTGTGTGTGTGTGTGTGTGTGTGTGTGTGTGTGTGTGTGTGTATATATGTAGGTGTAATTATTTGTATGTTACAGGCGCGGTACTTATTAGAAAGCGCTCAGTATCAGAGATAGAGCTAACATGTTGAACCAGATGTATGTATATGTGTATATGTATATATATGTATGTGTGTGTGTGAGTATATTTGTGTGGATATGTATATATATATTTATATATGTGTGTACATGGGTGTGTGTATGTGGGTACACGCCTATGTGTATGTATATACGTGTATATGTTATTGTGTATGTGTTTATTCGCATGTGTTTTTGAACATAAAAATATAGGTCCTTGCTAGATTAGATAATCGTTATATTTATTCTTTATATGTTTATATTTCATTTGTAACCTGTAGTCGATATTAAATTTGTCAAATTTTATTAATTACACAGCGACCCTTTCAGTAAATATCCTTCAATTTCACTTTCCTTCGCACCATCTCTCTCCCCCACCTCTTCTTTCCTTTCCCTCCCTCTTATTCTGATCTTCAACATTAGATCGTCTATGGTGTGTGTATGTCAACACGAAATGTATCTTTATGCATTAGACATCCGACAACATTCATATTTCTCTTACTTAAAACCCTTCCACTAACCTCTCCTAAAATTCTCTCTGTTAAGGTTTAATCTCCCTCCTTCTCTAGTCTGTTACCCCCCTCTTTAACTCTAACATTCGTCCCACACTCTCATACTTACACTCTCTCTAAATTCTGTTTTTATTTCCGGAGTTGTTTTTTTTTTGTTTTCTTTTTGAATTTGTAGGTCTGATGAATTGGATCGTATTTACGATTCCAATGGGATTAATTATGACCATGGAATAT